ACATTGATCAAATTTATTTTTATTTCTTTAAATATCAAAAATCCAAAAATATTATTTTCATTAATTAATTAATTTATTTATTAATTTAATAATTAACTTAGTTTAATTTCTTTTTCTTAATTAAAAAACAAACCAAAAATCCTTTCTTTAATAATTAAAGGGTCAAAACCCTAAAAACTCGCATTCGATTTAATTACCCGCGCGCGATCCATTTTATTTTAATATTGTATTTGTTTCCGGAATGTAATAGATAATTAGGACTATTTTTATCGCTTTATTTATTTCCCGCATTTTAATTTCAAGGGTTGCTTTTGGCGATGTAAATACCCGACGCCTTGTAATAATTAGTTTAATTTTTGCAATTTAATTTCTGCAACTTATAAACTGTTAGATGTTTGATAATAGGGAATGCATGACAAGATCAAACGTTTAAACCTAAAATCAACATAGATCACTATTAACATGTACAAAGATAAAATAAACTGAAAATAACACACTCGCACATGCGCACTCTTAGGGTACACCTCACTTGGTTGCCTTAGAACGCGGTCATTGAGTATAAGAAGTTTTAGAGGTCGCCCTCTTGTCCAAAGATCATAGTTGCCTCGAAACGGTTGCCTCAGAAAAATGATCTAAGACATTAGGGTTACCGCTAAGGCGTCCTAACATTGCTTTAGTGACCGCACGTCCCTTAATCGAATTGACCCTTAAAACTCCAACGACGATGCTACCTACTCATCAATAGTGGGATAACATTGTCTAAAGGACATTAGCACAGATTGATTCCTTTTTCAAGTAGGTAGGTGGTTCTTAAGTACTTGCTCTTTCCAAAACAAAAACAAAAATTTTCACACTTACACCTTTCAAACAAAAACTTCTTCAAACCCACAAACACAAAGAAAGCAAATTTTGAAAACACTTTGAGCAAGTACCTAAGAGCCCGTGGATAACCACGGATAGAAAGGGTGCTAACACCTTCCCTTTCTATAATCTACCCCCCGGACCCAAGAAATATCTCGAAAAAGGAATTTTTCTGTGCTTTTTTCCTTTCCTTGTTAGATAAAATAAAAGACAGTGGCGACTCTTGCTTACCGCGACATTTTGCGAAAAACAAACGCAAAACGCAAACCAGCATTCCAAAAACAGTCAGTTCTCTCCCACCGTATCACAGTGATGTATTCAAGTTGATTCGAATTCGATACACAGAAGTAACAGTCTCAATTTTGATAATGGTAGTTGTATCATAGGCGCAGGTGTAGGCGTGGACGTAGACGTGAATGTTCTTTCGATGTTTTTCTAATTTTATGCTTTATCAAATGCTTTTATTTGTTTTATCAAATCCTCAAAATAATTTCAGCGCAGTTTTTACAAGAAATATTCGTAGTATTTTGCAAACAAGTCGAAAAAATAAAAACACATTTGAATTAGATGAATTGTATTATTAAAGAAAATGCCTTTGAATAGGAGAGAGTACAATATGAAATTCCTAAAAAGAGGTAATTACATGAATTTTAACAAAAAATTGAAAATGGCAATGAAAATGATAATTGATATTGTTGTTTCTCCAATGTCCTTTGATAACTCCAATCTCATTTGCTTATGAGTCAGATGATTTAGATCGATCATTCTCTTTCGTAGCCATGGTAATAAATTCTCGAATTGCAGTATATTTGTTCATTTTTTGAATAAGATCCCTAACTTTTTCCTGGACCGCCTTTCAGGTTTTCAATCCACCTAGATAATAATTTTTGTTTGTATGTCCCTAATTTTTTCCTGGATCGCCCTTTAGGGTTTTCAATCCATTGGGACACCCCTTTTTTCCTAAGCCGCATGTTTAGGGTTTCGACTTAGCGGACCTTTTATGCATAGTATTTTTTAACTGCATCAGAGTTCGTCAGATGTGGTAGTTCTTCCTCATCCATTGTAGAGAGGATAAGACCTCCACCTGAGAATGTTGTTTTAACCACATATGGACCTTCGTAGTTGGGTATCCATTTACCACGTGAATCTAGGCGAGGTATTAAAATCTCCTTGAGAACTAAATCCCCTTCTTTAAACACTCGAGGTCAGACCTTTTTATCGAATGTTCGTAGTTTATCTCAGTATCTCGTAACATGTCAAACTCTACAAATCTTCTTGGTATTTGTCTGATTCTTTGTGGCCTCTGAACTTGTACAAAATCTTCTTCTAATTATGGAACAATATTATATGTTAGACCACCTTGAAAGGCTAGACCACCTCTAGAATCTCCACCTAGAGAAGCACGACCATCTTCAAAAACTACACCTTCAGAAGCATGATTTCAGAAATTAGATTACCACTAAATTCTGGATCATCATCAGAATATAGATCATAATTAGATTCACTTTCAGAATCAAACTCGCCTTTAGAGTCATCTTCTGATTCGGAGTCGCCTTAAGACTCTGACTCATCTTCAAATCCTTCTGAATCATCTTTTGACTCTGACTCATCTTCAAAGTCTTCTTCTGGCTCTAACTCATGTTCAGAGTCTTCAGATTTTGAACTATCTTCAGAAGTTACCTCAGGTGTTAACACTACACCTAAGTTGGATTAATACTTGATCCAATCCCATGCTTCTGACTCCTTGATAATGACGTCTCTACTGACTTCAATTTCAGAGTCATCTTCTGATTCTGACTCATCTTTAGAATCAGACTCGAATTCAGATTCAGAGTCAACTTCTAACTCAGACTAATTTTTAGAGTCTCATTCAAAATAAAAAAATAGTCAATCGACAGATTCCTCATCAGATTCATAAGCCAACAATAACATCGGCTTATCATCAGAATCTCCTCTGGCTATATTTGCTTTTTCTTTGTTTGACCAACAATCTTTAGCAAAGTGGTCAAACCTATTACAACAGTAACACAAAACCATTCTCTTGTCAAGTTTCTCATTTCCTTATGATGTTTCTTTTTATTAGAGTAGAAGGCTTCTAACTTCTGAGAACCACCATGTCTTTTCTTGGCCTCTGACCATGACTGCTTCTGGTCTTTCTTGACAAAATAAACTTTTAGAGCCTGCACAAACTATCTTTCAGAGTTCCTCTCTGTCAGACATAATTCTTATGCCTCTAGACTACTTTACAGCTCTTCAATTCTCATTGTGCTCGGATCTTTAGAATGTTCATTTTCTACAACAATGTAATCAAATTAAAGAGTAAGGGATCTCAATATCCTCTCAATGATTACTTGTTCAGAAAAGTCTCTCCACAAGATTTCATCTCATTTGTGATCAAAATCACTCTAGAGATGTAATTAGGTACCTTCTCATTGTTCTTCATGTTAAGATTTTCATACTGCTTACGTAGAGACTGAAGCTTCACCTTCTTTTTACTAATGTATCACCACTATAGCATCGTGTCAGTATAACCCACACAACCTTATCCATCATCGAATCAACGATTTTTTCAAACATGTTCGCATCATAAACGGATGGATGTAGAACAACACTTTCTGATCTTTCTTCCTCGTATCTTTCTGCGTGTTTCTTTGTTCCTCTGTCGCATCCGCTCTAATCGAAACATAACCTTCAGTGACAAGATCAAGAACATCTTGAGCACCAAATAACACACGCATTTGAATCATCCACTGATTCCAATTCTTTCCATCAAACACCAAAAGCTTATTATTCAAACTATTTCCGCCACTCATCTTCATTTTGTGCATTGAGACTCAAACTCGGTTCTCAGCAAACACTCGTGTTTCTCAATCCTGCAAAATAAAAAAAATGCAATTCTATTATGATTTCGATAGTGAATTCAACCCTTATTCAAACAACGAAGTCAATTACACACGCCTCACGTACACTCGTGTTTCTCTGAGAATCGGACCAGATCTCTAGATACCAATTATTTGTGCATAAAAAGGTTGAAGATGAAAAATGAAGGTGGAAGAAGAGAGAGAAAAAGACGACTACAACAAACTTGTTGAGAAAAAAATTTGTATTCACAACTTACTCCCTACTACAAAATCCTAGTTCAAACTTGTTTAAATACTCAAAATAAACTACTGTGTATGCCCTAACAAAAGTATACTTAATAGCTAAGCTAACAAAACCAAACTAGGACTCCAGAAACTAACATACTTCTGAGACACAACGTCAGAAGCTTCTCCTTCTGATTAACAAAAATACTTTTGAATATGAATTTTCGCCTTACAAAGCTGTATCAGACATTCAATCAACACATTTGTATTGTTAGATGATTTTCAACTTGCAACACAAAATATGTCAACACTTTTACTGATGCTTTGTACTTCAATAGTTAAATCTGCTGCATTTTTCAATAAAATAAAATTGCGAGATGTCTAACTCCATGCGACGTCATTTTCGAAAAATTCAAATCTTCCTTCAAATACTTGCGAGGCAAATTTAGTTTTTGGTTTATGTTTTTTTTTAATATGTAGCGAGATAAAATTCTCTTCGTAAGTATTTCTTTTTGTGAAGTGAAATTCACCCACCAAGATTTACATAGCAAATATTCCTATATATTTAGTGTAGTGATTATCTTATACTGATACGAAATGTAATTAATTTGATGTATAAAAATATAATAGATTCAATAGAATAAATAATAAATATAGTTTATAATTATTTAATAATATAAATTAACCCTATTTTATCATGTAAATTGAATTAAATATTCATTTAATTGAATTAATTATAATTTTATAAGTTTAAGTCCGTGTTGTGCACAAGTATGATAGAACGGGTATATCCTAAAAAATCTCTTGAAACTATCCTATGATAAATGTCATGTTTGCCACTTGTCATTATTTTGATAAACTTGGTTAATTGATATTACACACATGTCTTATTCTAACACTTGAATTGCTAAATCGGTGATGATGAGGATTTATTATTCACATATCCATTGTCGCCACAATCTGCAACAAGAATTATAGTATAACCATATTCTTTTTGTTCTTCTTCATCTTACTTATCTTTTTTTCTTTTTTGATTTGACCACTATAAATAACATGTCCACAACATCAATTTTCATACTTACAACAAAACTTAAATATATTACAACCCACATTACAAAGATGAATGTCAAGCTCGTTATCTTCTTGTGCTTCCTCTACGCACTACTTCTCATCGCTTCTGAAGCAACTGAACAGTTCAAAGATGAAAAAGAAGGTACTTCAGCAGTTCTAAATAACCTGAAAAAAGAAAACACACTCTTATATATTAAAGATTATTATAACAACTTTATTCGTATTCTTTTGAAGGTTTGAAATCTTTTGAATCCCCCACACTATATATAATCAATAGTGATGTATCTTATCTACTTATCTTCCTTACCGATTTTTATAGATAAACACTATATTTATATTAGCAAATATTAGTAAAGTGTTTTTATATATGCAACAGATGAAACAAAAGTATCCAAAACAAAGTTCGGGATAGACCGCTGGGAAGGAAAACCTCTCAGAGGTCCAGGCGGTGGACCAGGCGGTGGGGGACCTGGCGGAGGTCCAGGGGGTCCAGGTGGGGGTCCAGGTGGAGGTCCAGGTGGAGGGGGACCAGGGGGAGGTCCAGGCAGAGGAGGACCAGGTGGCAGTTCAGGAGGCGGTGGGCGTCACGGAGGACCCGGTGGTGATGGTCCAGGCGGAGGTGGTCCCGGTGGAGGAGGGCCAGGCAGAGGTGGTCCCGGTGGAGGAGGGCCAGGCAGAGGTGGTCCCGGTGGAGGAGGGCCAGGCAGAGGTGGTCCCGGTGGAGGAGGGCCCGGAAGAGGTCCAGGCGGCCCTGGTGGTGGAGGACACGGTGGTGGAGGTTAGTACTCATGACTCATATATATTTATATTATTAGCATATCCTAAAATAAATTATTTATTTTTTCCTATTACTAAAATTTCCAAATCTTCCACACTATATATCATGAAGAGTGAAGCATCTTAATTTTTGTTGCTACTAAGTTTTTTCAAGCAATAAATTGATATTAACAATATACTTAAAAGTTTTTGTATATTTACAGCGGATAAAACTGAAAAATCCAAAGCCAAGGTGGGTGGAAGTGGACACGGTGGAGGAGGATCACATGGAGGTGGAAGTGGACACGGTGGAGGAGGAGGTGGAGGCAAAAAGGGAGGGCGTGTGGGAAGTCCATGAAAACAATGACACGTGCATGCATGTGTGTAAATAATGTTATTTTAAGAAATGTAAAATAAAGCATGGAGTGTATCATACTTCATGGTTAGTTTGTCATAGAATGAATCTTCCCTTTTAAGGAGAAGTTTTAATTAATAATGTTGCTATTTATATCTAGTTAACACTTGATTGAGAAATAAATGAAATTTGATGAAAGAAAGCTGACTCAAAGGGAGTAAATTAAACAGAAAATTAAAGTTTTTGTAACTTATCATAGACAACTATTGAAGCACTTAAAAAATAATGTAATAATAAAATAATGTAATAATAATATCTTTTGAGGAAACAAGGCTTGGATATGAGTTTTTTGTTTTTTAACTACAAAATCAGAACTACTTCGAATGGAAGTAATTGATTAAACAAAAAAAAATAATGATAGAATAATGTAAAATAAATATTTAATTTTTAAAGAAAGACAATCTACTAAAATATTAATAGATAAAATATTAATAGACAAAAATAATAATAATAATTATAATAATAATGATAGAATAATGTAAATATAATATTTAATTTTTAAAGAAAGACAATCTACTAAAATATTAAATAGACAAAATATTGATAAGACAGGTATATGAAACATTGAATTATTTGAAAGGATGGTGTTATACAATTTTCTCGGAAATTTGACTCAACCTTCATATATGTGGATTTTGATTCGAGTCAAGTAAATAGCGTGGATTAATAATGAATTATGTAATTTGTCGTGCGATCGAATTTTTATAATTTTCCTTTGAGTTGTGTTGATATAAAAGTACTTATAATCAAAGTGATTATAAATAAATCAATACACAATTCAAAACAAAATCAATTATTAAACACAATTCAAAACAAAATCAATCATTAAACACAATTCAAAACAAAATCAATCATTAATGAAAAATAAAGGAAGTAAAGTGATAAGAAATTAATGAAAAATAAAGGAAGTAAAGTGATAAGAAAAAGAGATACGGAAATTTGTTTATGAAATTCGTTAATCAAAACAAAATCAATCATTAAACACAATTCAAAACAAAATCAATCATTAATGAAAAATAAAGGAAGTAAAGTGATAAGAAATTAATGAAAAATAAAGGAAGTAAAGTGATAAGAAAGTGATAAGAAATTAATGAAAAATAAAGGAAGTAAAGTGATAAGAAAAAGAGATACGGAAATTTGTTTATGAAGTTCGTTAATCGTCTTCGTTATGGTTATTCTCTTTCAATTTCAATTTTGAAATTAGGATAATTTCTTACTATGTAAAAAGTCGTTACAAGAGAAGTGTTTCAAGAGTAACTTTACAAATTTTAAACGTTTGTTATTGATTTAACTCTTTCTCTTATTTTGATTTTGAGTAAGACCAAGACACAATAACTACCAATTAATTTAACGAATCTTGCTACTCATTTGAGTTCTTTATCTTCAAAGCTTTTGCGCACAATCAATTATATATATTGCACGCAAGACACTTCAATTCGAATCGTTGTTCTCGCGTTACTTCTTTTGCGTTCTTTAACTCAAAAGATTTTTCATCAGTCTGTAATCCTCTTGAATGTTTTGCACGAAAACCTTCAAATCTATCAACGATCTTGGAGAAAAAACCTGCAGTTTTTTCGGATGAAATCTCTTTCAAATATCAATTCAATATTCTCGGCTACGTTATCAAACCTCGCCTAGATGACACCCCGATAAAAGATGGTTATGTGTGATTTATTAGTGTGCATGTATAAGTTGGAGTTTGATGGTGAAGAGCATCTGTAGTAAGTGTTTATAGTTTCATTAAGTTGAAATGATGCATGAATTATGTATTTATAGTTGTGAAAGTTTAGATGCAAAATGGTAATTTTCAGAATTTAAAAGAATTTAAAAATTGATTCAATCAAACAATATGAGCCGACCTAAAATTCCTATGTGCCGACCTGAAAAGACAATGTACCGGCCTATGCATGGCAGTAGCGTTTTGCTTTAAAACTGCACTATATGTGTCGGCCTGAAAATCGTATGTGTCGGCACATAAAATAGAAAATTTGAAAATTACAGTATGTGCCGGCCTGTATGGATGCATATATCGGCCTATAGCCTCCAGAGGCTCCAGGCTTCAAAACTAAGTTGTATGTGTCGGCCTGAAACACGTATGTGCCGACACATTCAAGAAAAAATTATGCAGAAACTTGTTTTTCAAGACTTTGGTCAATTTCAAAATGGTTTTTTAAGATTCCTAAGACATCTAATGTAAAGGAGTGCCACAAGACATAGAGATACCGTCCAATATACAGAAATGATAAGTTCTCTTAGTTTTGACATCATGCAAAATATCGAATGGTGAAGTTGTACACACACAAATTCCTTTTCTAGTTCGACTGAAGAGAAATTCTGATATAAAATGCAGCAAAAAATAAAAATTTATCTTAAGTTGATCCTTACGAATGTTGCATGATCAGTGATAGAATATTTATTGCTTGTGATGATTAACAATTTTGATGCAGATCATTTATCTCTTGTGGTTATTGCTGAAGCGGTAAAGTGACAAGCAAAAGTAAGTATTTTTATAGGTTGATATTTAGGTTATATCGTTTTGTATCAACAGATATTGGTGAATTGAAATGTCGTTCGATAAATCTCGCTTTTATGAGTTTGGGAGTAGAATGGGTTTGTTTGTAAGGTGCAGGAATTAAAAGTTATAAACATAAAAAGAATTTCATTCTTCGAATAGTAAAGAACTCTCAAGTTTGTATTTCGTCTACCCTATCAAATATTTAAACTTACTACCCAGTTGCACTTAACCTTAACTACTCGTCAATATCATCACGTATCGCTCACACAGAGGTAATCTCTAACGCATAACGAGATATCAACTGTATCGTTCTATGTCGATGATCTCTCAGCATAATACAAAACAATATGGAGGCATTAAGAGTCGATACCTAAGTGATTACTAAACCTAAATCTATCTCTAGAATCTAAGCCTAATAGATATTCATCTTAAGTTCGGATTCAATTTTTCCATCTCTGTAACGACTCAAACCCAAACACTTAGCAAGCTAAAAAGGATAAACATCAATAAAGATTTGTAAAGAAAGTTTCATACAACATGATAAGAAATAAATGTACATATAATCAAGGTAAAGTTACATACAAAATCCAACAAATAATAGTTAAAAAGAGAAACAGGAGAAGAAACCAAATTTCCTGTGGTGTCAAATACGATCCATCAAGCTCCTGGCCATGGATCATCCAATTGCAAGCCACAAATGTTGTTTTCTAAGCTCTAAATATCAAAGAATGAAGGTGATGGAGTTTGGAAAAAAATACCCCAAAACCATAACCTAGAAAATGAACTAAAATTTGTTTTATAAAACTATTCTCAGTCAACCGCACTTAGAGGCCTCAATGCGCTAAGCAGGATGCGCGATATTTACACACTAAATCGCCTAAATCGCGCTAAGCACGCTACCCGCGCTAAGAGAGCTAAAAAATTACACTTCTTCCAAACTTCACAAAATCACTCGCAGCGCGCTACAACTTCCGCTTAACGCGCCTGCTTGGACAAAACTTTCTCAAAAATGATCTTTTATTATGAAAAATCACATTTGGAGTCGTGTCTTCGACACCTTATTCCTAGATGCTCCAAATATGAGACAAATACCTACAAAATAGACCAAAAATATCAAAGGCTATACTATTTACATAAAAACACAATTATTCACAAAGTAAATGTATTTACAAACAAAACAGAGAATTATTCAAATAATATTAACAAAAGTATCAATAAGTGTAACAAAGATTATATACAAAAATAACTACAATTTGAATTTATCAAACTCTCCCCAACTTGAAATTGTTTGTCCTTAAACAAGGACAAACAACTCAAAGAACAAAGAAACAATAATCAAAGAATCACAAATCAACAAGTTTTTAAAACGAAAAACAGATGTATGGTTCAAAATAAAAATCTACACACAAAGCAAAAACTTACCACTAATCTAAAACGATAACATGAAAATGAAACAACTCCTGGGAAGGCCTCCTCAATCCAAAGCAAGCACCCCACTCACTCCTTGAAGTTTCCAGGAGACATTTCCAAGCATTAGACAAGACCAACGCACGCAGGAACATCACTCACACAATCCCCCCTCTTTGGTAACTTGCCTTCGATCTCAATCTCCTTCAATGTGTAATTTAAATTCATATTGATTGTAATCCATGTTATGAATGTTGTTACATGTGTGTGTGTGTGTGTGTGTGTGTGTGTGTTTCGCTTTATTAATCTAACGTCTTGGTTTTATTTGTATCAATGAATGAACAAACAGTTCAGATGGCAAAGGGGAATGTGTGCAGTGGAAAGGGACTGGGTTCAATACCCAAGTTGTGTATTATGTTTTTTTATTTAACCATTATCTTGCAGATCCAGATCGAAAGGCAGCCCCCTCCTTGGATCGAAAGGCAGCCCCCTCCTTGGATCGAAAGGCAGCTTCCCTCCTTGGATTGAAAGACAGCTTTCTTCATTGGATCAGAAGGAAACCCGGGCCTCTTCCTTGATCTGGGCCTGCGTTTTTCTTTACTTATACCACCCCATGTTGTCTTTGCTATCCTGGCCCATTTTATTTTGTTTTTTTTTAATTTTTTTTATTTAACTATAAAATCAGATGAAAAATCACAAAAATTAGGTTTTAGTCTTTTTATTAAAATTAATTTTGTTAATTAATTATTACTTAAACATTTTTTTAAAATTAAAATAAGTTGATTTAGATTTTTAATTTTCTTATTTTAAATAAAAAACAAACAAAAAGACTTTCCTTTCTAGGATTTAGACGTATTTTAAATTTGCACGCGATTTTATTTTAGAATTATTATTTTTCATATTATTGTATCTGCTTACTGGGATGTAATAGTTTAAATTAGGACCTTTACTTTTTTCTGCTTTATTTCCCATTTTAGACTTGTAATTTTCCTCCTCCCCGAAGCCATGTAATAGTTAGATT